ACACTTTTTTTTCTTTTCCTTTCTTTTTTTTTCTCTGACTTTTTTTTACTTTTTTCTCTCTCGTTTTTTTTCTCTATCTTTTTTTTCCTCTCTCCCTCTTTCCAAAATAAACTAGATAAGATGTAGATTGGATCAAGCGAAGATGGGAACGATCTCAACTATGATTATGACAATGAACGGTGGGTAGCACGTGGAGGAAATTGATGGATGGGTGGTGGACAGCGGAAGGGATAATGATGCAGCGGCGACGTGACTAATGTGAACAAAACTCAAAACTCTAAACGACCTAGACACTAAGACCAGCAACTCGATACGACGATGCAACCGATAATTCAACTATGCAAGCAATGAAAAGAAAATTGCAAAGGCTCAGACTGGCTTGGACAAAGGATGAATAGATCTAACTCTTTTTTGTGGATTTTTCTTGGACAATAGGTAAGAAAATAAATCTAATCTAGAAAAACTAGAAATTCTCACCGAGCAACCTGAAAACTGATACCACTTGATAGAGGCGAGGGTCCCGATCTTTCGATAAGATGATAACTATCGATTTGGTGGAGACGACTTTGACAATCCGACTACAAACATGCACAACGTTGCGCCTTAGCAATCGCTAAACCAATCTCCTGAGGTTACTGACGATGCTGGAAGCACGGTCAGCCTGACCACGAAGGTCTATTCCTGCAAGCAATCGAAGAACGAGCAAGAATATGATAAAGCAATCCGAATATTGCAAATATATATGAAGTATTGATAATGGTGGGGATCCGGAAGCGGTCTTGGTCTGGTCGTTGGACACAAACGAAGTACACGAAGTTGCAATGGCTAACTTTTAACTAAACAAATCCCAAGCAAAAAGCTACTAGATGGATCTACTTATATAGGAGCAAGGGGTGGCGGCCAAGGAGGTGGGAGGATTTCCCAAGGCAGCCTAAAACTAACCCTAGGTCGTACAAGGCTCATGGGCCCAAGTGGAGGTGATGCAACACCTTTGGGCTTGTAGTTTGACTTGGATTCTGCTGCAACGTCAGATTGTTTCGTCCGTAACTCAACACTCCGGATGAATTTGAAGGTGAATCCAATTGGGATGGAAAGATCACGAAATCTAGTTTCCAACAAAAAAAGAATCACCCAATTCGGAGTCCGTATAAAAAAGTTGTTGGCGTTTTGAGTCAGGTATGTCTGTGCAGTCCGAATCTGAATCCAGAACGTGAGAGACTTGGACTCTATCTTCTCTTGGCCCAAAAGTGACGTGAGAGGACTTTTTGAACACAACCTAAACATCTCCTTTTCCCTTATCTTCATATGTGGATTGTACAAATGTCCCATACACCTGCAATTAGACAAAACACAAAAGTGTGTGAAGTATTTTTGTTCTGGGTAATATAAATAGACTATTGAATAGTTTGCATTAGAAATCACCTGACAAATATGCATGTATGCAATATTTTTGGTCGTATCCAAGGTAGTCATGTCCTCATCAGGTACTACCGCAAGGTAGGATTGGACCAGCCTGGGAAGGGCACGGACAAATAAAGAAACGTCCGTGGCAACTTCCGCTGATTTTCAAACAGTGTAAAAATCCGACACGTTACTACCGCTCAAGGCATGCGGTACTACCGCACAGGGAGCGGATGTAAAAAATTACATTCGTCCCTACTTCCGCTTATGGTGCTGTGCCGGACCAGGACTCACGGTACTACGTCTCCCAAGGAGCTGTACTATCGTGACCACCTGCGCTACTGCCGCAAAGGCCTGCGGTACTATCGCAGGGGCCTGCGGTACTACCGCTCCGAAGAGCAGTACTACCGCAAGCCCCAGAATAGCAACACTAGGAATTCTTCTTTTTGCACAAACACAAAGAAACGGAGGATGCTCCAAAGTGCTAAGGGAAAGGCGGTGCAAAGAGGAGTAAACGTGTACGTGATGATTCTACCCAAACCTTTCCAAACGGACCCCCTCTTAATAGTACGACTTTCCTACGACTCAAATCCACCGAAAAAGGAACGTAGAAAAACACCATCTTCAATAATCTTCGAGGGGCTCCTAACCGTCTTGTGCCTAGTAATGAAATATCTGAAATACTCGAGGCACATGATTAGTCCGCAAATGCATTGTCATCAATCACCAAAATACCGTAGGGATAAATATGCCCTTACACTAATGAGTGCAAAGGATTGCACAAATCCTCTCTTTGATGGGGTTTCACAGGAAATGGGCTAAAAGGGGAAGAAATCCATGTGAACATGGAAAGGAGTAGAAATGGAGATATAAGAAATCATCAGGAGGCACACAAGCGAAGATAACACAAAAGACGGTGTTCCATACGGCCGCAAGCGCTCGTATGAGTGGTCGTATGGTGCGAATTCTGAGGTGCCTCCTCCACCTAAACAACTTCTATAAACGGGACCACATCGAGATGTCAACAGAACATCGTCGGTTGAAGCCAGAACAGAACCATCGTCATCCCCCTTCACAAATCCTAGACGCCGCCATCACCATCATAGTCCATCTCCCTCTAGTTCATACTTGTAATCGTGCACCGCACAAGGCATTCATTGTAAGACATATTTGCATTCACCGATCTTCAAGATGTGTTGTTTAATGTGTTCTTCTTGCGATCCGATCTTCATGCGTAAGTAGTTCGATAAGGTATGGGTTGAGGCATAGGCCTTGCAACCCTTTGTATTTGTTGTAGGGATCAATGAAAGTGCTTTGAATTAACATCCCGTATGTGTGAACGAAATTGTTTCATAGATGTTTGTTGTCTCGTCCGCGATCTTCATCCTCGCAGGTATCCAGGATCATGGAGACCGAGCCACGGAGAGGCTAAGGACATGGAGAAGGTGAAGTGTTATTCTGAACACTAGTGACAGAAGGGTTACGGTAACACAGATCCAATCCTTGGGGATTCATGAGGTGTAGTCATTAACGCCTAAAGCTCATGTCTGATTATTTTAATCTTAGTTATCGAGGCTTAATTATCGATGAATAGGGCCTGCGGTAGGACAACTTATTCTTGATGCAGGACCCGTGTCAGTTAAGATGTTATTTGGACACATCCCCCACTTTGATTCGTAACAAGTACATCTCGATGGGTGACCAGCGCACAAATTAAGACCATATTTGGTCCCAACACAAATACATGATTGTAAGCATTAAGACCTTATACTCGTACCTATTTTTACTACAAGTGTTTGAATCACCATTTGCTTGATTGTTATGGTCAAAAGCTGAAATTGATCCTTTAACGAAAGCTTGCTAGAGACCATCGCTTCAAGGAAGCCTTCCTCTCGTGGGTTCGATTATTCAGGGTCACCTATGAAAAGGTGCATGATACTTTCTGTTACTTTACCGGATCACTAAAAGAAGGTATGAGCCATTGCACCCACAATCCCCTAGAACGTCGAGTTCATCGATGGCCCGACCGTTGTTTCTGGCAGCAAATGGCTATTGCGTCCTTCAATGGCTGGTTTAGTGCATTTTCAAGCTCCGAACGACAGTGTACTCTAAGGTAAAACACGAGCAATACGTTTTTGGTTGTAATTTTATATTTTGCAGGTCATTTTGTGTCATTTTAATTGTATCAACTACTCTTTCTTGATAATTATCTAACATAAGTTGCCCAATGTCTTCTTTGAAATAGAAATTCATTATTGAACAAAAGTGGCGTATTTCTAGGCTTTGTACAAGGCCTTGGTGATTGGCGATCCGGAACTAAGTAGCTGTCAACCCGAAACTTAGGGCCTGTTCTGAAACTGCCCAGCTTCCCCAAAACTTCCTAGATTCAGCTTCTCGTACCGCTTCTCACTTCAGGTGGCGATTTAAAAAGCGTTCAGAATACAACTTCGGCTTCTGTCGTTAGGCACAGGGTTGCTAGCCCATTTGGCAGGATTTGTCACGGGGCTGTGGCCTAGTTGAGGCCCAAAGCAAATGGGCAACGTGAGAAAGAGAGAGAGAGAGTTTGGGAAAGAAAATCAAACCGGTACGTGAAACTCACTTGGCGGTGGCAATCCGTCGTAATTAGCTTGAACTCCAACTTCTTGGTTTCTACAGATCTGGAAAAGGGCAGCTTCCTCAACTCCTTCCTTTTTGCACTAAAACGGGTCGCCAGCTTCCTGGAGTTAGAGCGTTCGGCTCAGCTTCATGCATGGAGTTAACGAAGCTGAGAGCTGGAGCGTTGCCGAGCAGGCCCTTAGTAGGGCTAGTCTTCATGAGCTTCATTCATTACTTGCGCCATCCAAAATTATTAGTCCTCTTCGTACTTAGTGTCAAATTTGATCATACATTTGACTACTAGTAAATCCTAAGTTCATGTAATAAACATTATATCATTTGAAACATTATTTAAACATGCATCCAATAATATAATTTTTGTTGTATATAATTATTTTTTGCTAATATAAAATCTATGATCAAAATTTTAACATAAAATCCGAGGGAGATTATGAACCCGGACGTGGGGAAGAAGTGGTCTGCATCATCAATGGAGGGAGAGAACAAAACCAACTCGGGACCCCACCGCCGATCTTATCCTCGTCTAGTGAGCTTGGGCGGCTCGGATTCAACTCCAGTGTAGAATGGACGGCCACGGCCCCTCCAGCGTCCCGTTCGAAAACAACCGTCCGAGCTGTGTATGCATTCCCAAAATATCTACTTTTATCGGCCCACAGATCCACAAGGAAACCAAAACTCCCCACAAATTTGATCTGATCATTTCAAAATCCCACACCACCTCTTCCAAAATCGCGTCGTCACACCAAGAAGCTCTCGGAATTTCGAGTTCTCCTCCAATTTTTCCTGTCATCGGGCGCGCAGATTTTGACCAGTTATCAGCTGTTCTTCTCCAGTCCCTCGAAGCGCAGAATTTTGTTCCTTTTTCCGGCTGTTTTGATCCGACGGTTCTTCCGAATCACTCTCTCCGCAGCTGACGTCCCTTTTCCGGGTTTTGCTGTTGCTGGGGGCGTAAAATCCCTCAAGCTGGCGAATTCGGCGTGTCCATGGACCAGCCCGAGAGCTCTCTCCCCCATGCCGCGGTCCAGAAGGGGCAGACCCCACGCCACGAGGAGCTCGTGCGGCTCATCGCGCAGTCGCTCTACTCCCTCGGTTACCGGAAGGCGGCAGCCACGCTCGAGGCGGAGTCCGGTGTGCCACTGTACCCCCCGGAGCACGACCGTCTGCTGCTCGACGTAATGTCCGGCCGGTGGGACGCGTGCGCGGCCACTATTGACTCTCTTACCGGCATTACCGAGAGGAACCGTGCGGTTGCCGAGTTTTTGGTGTGGAGAGGGCACTTCCTGGAGCTGCTGGGCACTGGGGACGCTGGTCTACGCCTTGCAACGGAGGTGCTCTCGCGTCGGATCGCCCCTCTTGCCATCGACAGAAGATGTGTGCACTGGCTGGCACGCGCAGTGGTCACGTCCGAGGGCGCGGTTGCACCAGAGGCTGTGGCTGAGTGCAGGATTGGGCTTTTCTTGGATTTGGTTGAGGCGTTGCCGCCATGGTTCCGGGTGCCAAGTGGGCGGCTTGAGCATTTGGTGGAGACTGCGGTTATTCAGCAGGTTGCTTCGTGTATATACCATAATCTGCCGGATGAGGTCACTCTATTTGAGGATCACAAGTGCCATGAAGAGCAGATCCCTTCTGACTGTACACAGGTGTGAGTTCTTGTAATTCTTGTTTTTTCTTACCAGCTTCTCGATAAATTTCATAGCCTGCCAAGAAAATGGGAAATCGTGCGCCATACTCAGAAACTAGAGTTATCGAAGCAGAAATTTGAATACGGCAACTTCTATTGAGTAGTTCGCTGAGCACACTCCAGCATGTCTATTTACATAAGGTCTTTAAATTTCTGTCCCATGATGTTGCTATATCTGCAGCTTCATCCCTCCCTGTGTTGACTATTGGAAGCATATAATTATCATTCAACCGGAACTTGTGCTTCAGAAGTACCACGTGCTCCTTTTCCATCGGCGAGGCAGGACTTGTATCATTTTGTAATCTTTACACTTGAAGTGTAGATTAATCTGCTTCATTCGCTTGTATGCTTTCCATAGCCACCATGCTAATTCACATAAAACTTACTGTTCAGTACAGGTTTACCCTGGGTTTCAAACATTGCTTAATCCTAAGTGACATGGTTATGATTTATAATATTTTAAAACCAATATCCACACAATTATTAATTTTGTTTATCAAAGGGGACGACTGTTTACGTACACTATTTGTGTATCCTAAATGAATAGACATAGTCCATGCTTGGGTGCTGGGGCCGTATTGCAGAGATGGATACTTGAAATTTCTATGCCTGTTTGCAGATATTATGTGCTCATAAAAACGAAGTTTGGTTTGTAAGGTTCTCAAATGATGGGAACTACCTGGCATCATCTTCAAGTGATTGTACTGCCATCATATGGAAGGTATAGTTTTACACACCCTAACATTGACCTGAAAAGTAACGTGCCTTGTTACTTGCATAAATAATGCTAAGATTATATCTATTTTTCCTGGCACTAGAATTTTGTAGCAGAACCATCAGATTCAGGGCACAATAGAATAGTCTTGTTTTTCTGCTCCCAGCTATACCTGACATCATTAAAATATAAAGTGAATAAACTGTTTTACTCTGACAGCACTATTTAACTCTTGGAGCATTGCTCAAACAAGCAGTGCAATACGACATACTCCCTCCGTTCCAAATTACTTGTCTTGGATTTGTCTAGATACGGAGGTATCTAGTATTAAAATGAGTCTAGATACATCTGTATCTAGACAAATCCAAGACAAGTAATTCGGAACGGAGGGAGTATTTATCAGTACAGAGCTTGCTCCAAACTCCCAGAGTTGTAGATAAGCTGACTGCATTAAGTACTATCCGCAGTGAGATACTCTTTCAGTTGAACTCTTGGAGGTGTAGTATTCACCGTGACACATTTATATTAAGGACGCTCTTTACCTCTGCTGAATCTGACTATGAATAGTTTACACTCTGTCAACCTTATCAGATATCCTTGTTACATATGATCGTTGGCTGATCATTACTAAGAACTTCATTCATGATGGATACATTTTATTCAAGGCAGTGCATAGGAGAAATATGCATCTTTCTCTTGCTTCTGGTTTGGCTCCTAGTAAAGCACCCAGCCACCTACTCCCTCCGTTCCTAAATATAAGTCTTTTTAGAGATTCCAATAAGAGACTACATATGGAGCACAATGAGTGAACTACACTCTAAACTACGTCTATATACATCCGTATGTAGTCCATGGTGAAATCTCTAGAAAGACTTATATTTAGGAGGGCCATGAGCCCTCACCCTTGATTGGCCACCTGGGAGCTCATCTCCCATGTTTGCCATGGCTCTGGGGCCTGGTTGAAGAAAAGTGGGATTCTAGAGAGCTTCTGGTTATTTTTTATTCTTTGCTTAAGAAAGGATAACTGTTCTGTGCTTAAGGAAAGTTTTGCCATTTCCCTGATAAAAAAATCCCTGAATAAAGTTATGCATTTAATTATTTTTCCAAATTAATTAGTTAGTTTCAGAGTTTTCTCTGAATAAGAAAAGTTTTGCCATTTTGATGTTACCAGGCTGGGCCACCCATGAACAAGTCAAAATACATGATGTTTTCGAGTACATGTAGTCAAACCATTTCGAATTTTAGCCACTAATTTGTTCAATCTTTTTTATTATTACTTGTACGACATAACACTGAATTACTTCCATAGTATAGTAGTATTTTATAGTTTCGTTATTTTATATTGCTATGGATATCGATGTGAAAAGATGATTGTTGGAGACCATACTGATTTCCACCTACGACTGGCAGTAGTTTTTCCTGTTCATACTTTCATTGCTTTTGTTACGGCCTTTTCTGCCGTCCTCTTGTATCATATTCCCATCATTCATCATTGGCATATGCATATTACCACGATATCTCTCTTCAGATGATTAATGTCGTCTTCTCTTCCAATTTTTATGCTATGATAGGAAGATGGGACTATATTCAACTGAGTAGTGATACAAACCTGGGCTTGGGAAGATCATGCTTCTCATGTGAGATCTTGGTCTTCTTTCTGGTTTGTTCATATACTTCATTTTAACTGGACCTGTGAAGACTTAGGCTCAGTTTGCGGTTGCTGAACTGTGCTGCGATGTGCTTATTCTATAATCTGGGAAAATAGTCACGAAACTAGAGACAAGTTGGTTAAATAAACACTAAATGCGGTCACGTGCATTTGTGTCGTTATGAAGATCACTGTATAAGTTAACTGGGTTCATGAAAGATCATATAGGCGGGTCTATTTATGCTAATTGAACTTCGTTTGTACAAGGGGTGCATGGAAAATGTACATCTTGAGTGAAGTAAATGACATTTCATAGCTCTCATGTACGCACTGTAAGATGTGTCAAAAGCCTACCACTGTTGCCTATGTTCCCTTTTCTGTTGATCATCATTGATGTTTCCTATTCGAAGCTAGTGGAGAGATGAGGGTGTAAGTATGTTAAGTATATACATGCACCACAAGGTGTGAGGTTATGAGTTATGACTATGCGTCCTTTTGATTTTATTTATTTTTTATTTTTACAGCTCGTTTAAAGGTAGTAAGCGCGATTTATAATATGAATATTGTAACCAGCCTTTTGTAAAATCACATGTTTTCATCCACAAGAATATCCTGTTTTTTATTGGCATTCACATGTAGTCTTTATACAATTTATGTGTTATGTTAACTCATTTCCTCGCTTGTATTACAACTTCAAATTGTTGTCATGTCTAACCCCTGGAGATGATGTAGGTGGAAGAAGATGATACATTAACCAAGAAGTACTGCCTCGAGGGTCACAAAAGTCCTATTTCTTTTGTTGCTTGGAGCCCAAATGATAGAATGCTTCTCACTTGTGGTAATGGGGAATCTTTAAGACTGTGGAATGTTGATACTGGTGAATGCAATCTTAAATTTGGTGCTGCAGTAAAACACATCATCGCGTCATGTGCATGGTTTCCAAATTCAGAGAAAATAGTATGTGCCAGCTCTGAACCTGAAAGTTCTCCAAATATGATTTTCACTTGTGACCTAGAAGGCCAAGAACTGGAAATGTGGGCTGGAGAGAGAATACCCAAAGTTAGTGATCTTGCTGTGACACCTGATGGCAAACATCTAATCTGTGTATGTCCCAACGAAATTTGGTTTCGAGAACTTCGGAAGGGGCGGGAATGGAAAATTCCTGAACGGCAGACAATTTCATCTCTTTCTCTTTCAGGTGATGGACAGTCAATGATTGTCAACCTTAATAGTCAGGAAATTCATTTGTGGAAAACCAATGGAAGTTCTAGAGTGCCCGATAAATTCAAGGGGCACAAGCAAGGAAAGTTTGTGATTAGATCATGCTTTGGGGGATCAGACTATCATTTCATTGCTAGCGGCAGTGAGGATTCACAGGTACACCCTCTTGAAGAATTTAACCTTCCCTTCGAAAAAATCTTGGCCTGCTTCCATTTCAACTTCTTGCTTAGATTCCATTCTCAGCCTCCGTATGCAATATAATCAACCTCTCGTACCTGAGCCTGTTAGGTGGTATTTTGAAACAAGGAATGGCATTTGTTTAGAATAAAGCAGTACCATGCGTTTGGAGGTTTTATTCTCTTGCACTATACCTTCTCCGTGAGGAGCGATGCTGAATTTGCAGACTCGCATAGCCAGAAGTAGTATTCTTTCATACCTGAAATACCAGTATTCTTGCTGATCATTGCAGACTCACCAAGTTTGTGTTGAAGAGGGCATGCTTTGGTTTGCAGTTTTGCTAAATTAGCACTATTAACTAGTGGAAGCAGACACATTAGTTGGCATGTACTCCAATACATGCAAACAAACTTGGTGATATAGTAGAATTTTAGAGGACCACTACAGACAAACCAACACAAACTTTTGTGATCAATCACACTAATGTTTAAATCAACCTGCTGTATGACCTTTATTATCTATAGAAATGTAGGATACAAATAGCAAAACTCGTGTCGAATGCGAAACAATGGGAAGAGTTCACATCTGTTTTCTTGTGCTCTTGTTGAGCGTTTCTGTTTTGCTGATGCGTAGAGATAATGGGCAGGTGTACATTTGGCAAAGATGCATGGAGATGCCGATAAAGGTCCTATATGGGCACTCAATGACTGTAAATTGTGTAAGCTGGAACCCCGCGAGGCCCCAGATGCTGGCTTCCGCAAGTGATGACCGTACAGTTCGAATATGGCTAGGGCGCAAACCCCACAGTTTGACTTGAAAAGTTTTGTATGTTTTCCCTGTGAATAGTTGTACATTTTGACTGTATGCACAAACTAGTTGGGGATCCTTTTCCCTCGTAAAGAGCTTTTAGCTACTTGAGAGAGGTAAACTTTAAGCAGCCAGAGATAGCAGGATACGGGTAAGTTATTTATGAGATGGCGGTGCCGGTTGGAGTTTTGCCCGCACACTCTGTAAAGAAACACAGTTGCATCAGGGCCTTGTACGCATGAGTGCTGTTGTTTAGTCTGGATGGCTTGTGCTTGGGTAGATTCACTTCTATTCCTGCCTACTACCTATCTTGCGTAGAAGAAACTGGGACAGCTGAATTTTGTATGTGAAAAGTCCGTCTGTCCTTCCGGGTCACGAATTGTTTTTTCGTTTTGGTTGCGGGGGGACTTTTTTTTTTTTGCGGGGGGACTTCAAAGTTTACATTGTGCACATTGAACTATTCTTTGCCTCTGTAAACTAATGTAAAATCTTTTGGATCAGTACTTTAACGATCCACAAAAGATCTTATATCAAAAGACACTGTTTATTCATACTTTTTTGGAATCGATAACTCCCGAACGCCCGCGTTCACAGCCCCTTGGTCCGAATGCGCTGATCGACGTACGTCCAGTTTGCACGAATCTTGACGCGAGCTGATGCCACGTAGGACAGCCAGCACCCGTTAGGGGTAACGGTCTCTCGGTCCGAACTCCCCTCCCCCACCCCACTTCTCCTTCCCCACCACTCCGCCGAGCAGTTGTCGTACACCACGGTGAAACCGCCGCCGCGCGCCCCCTTTTCCCCTCCCTCTTCTCCAGTTGCTCGCGTTTCCCATCAGCATTGCACCCCTCTCCCCGCCGCTCCCCCACCGCTCGCTGGGTGGTTTCAGT